TTACCAGCCTCCGAGTTCTCCGCCGATGAATTTATTGAAGAATTCCACCACCGATACTCAGACAAACCAGGACCCTTGTCCAAAGTTATTCAAACATCCCATTCCTAATACAGTGCTACTCTGGACACCACCATTGCCCCACCTTACCATTTCAATTCTAACCACTAATTACCACCGATCGATCACCCTTCCTACACTTTCAAAGTCAAAAAAATTTTTTTTGTATGTACATTTTTTTTTCCACCACCAACATCCGACGCCCATTTCTATATACATTTTGTACAAAATATTTACAAAGAAGCGGAACCTGACGGGCCTGCACCAGAACCCGAACTCTCCCCCCGCTCCTTCAACTCCTCTATATCCTCGTCCAGCCTCTTTAACATCGCCTCCTGAAGATCCTCCACCTCCTGATCCCTCTCATCCTTGAAAATCAGTCGGACCTTCTTCCAGGCCTCCACCTCGGACTCTGAAAACAGCTCCGAAGGAGACGACATATCATCGGAACTGTAGTCGTCTTGAAGACCTGCCACAGTATCGTGAACATCCGCCACCTCGTCCGCCAACTCATCCACGCGATGCATCAACTTGCGTATCAATTGTGAAAGTTGGTGGAGACCGGCGGAGACCTCCACACTGCTGATCACCTCGCTCGCAGTGACCCCCTTGTTGAACGAACAGGCGGTTTTCTTGATCTTGCAGCGAGAGCAAGTCCGCCCTCGACCGGCGCCTTCGGTTACCAGGCGTGCATAACACTGGGCACCATCTTGACGACAGCGCACACAACTCCCTAAAAACAAAAAAAAGCTAAGTTGAGCCATGAAAGAAAACCAAGACACTTACTTTCACCATCTAACAATTCCTCGCCCCCCGCCGGTCCCGCCACTTCCAACTTTGCCCGCTTTTTGGGGCTAACAACCACCTCTGTCCCACTGCCATCCACTACGCTCCTCGACCTGAACTTGCGTTTACGGCCTTTCTCCGCTGGACCCACTGCCCTTCTCTTCCCCTCCCACACCCTCTTCCTCCCCTCCAGAGTCCCCTCGGATTCCTTGGACTCATCATCCCCCTCAGTCCCCTTGTCCTGTTCATCATCGGATTCTGGAGGCATAGGGCGAGTCACCTTCTTGAAGCGAAGACCGGGGCCAGGACCAAACCGTTCCACCAACACTCGACGAAGCCGGAAATCAACGGCCTCCATGGGGGTCATTTGCAACCCATCCTCTGCAACCATCCCCTCTGGCTCTACCTCCTCAGCCTCAGCCCTCGCCGCTGACTCCGCGGCCTCCCTCTCCTCAGCTTCCCTCCGAGCCGCCTCTTTCAATGCCTCCTCTGCCTCCTTAGCCTGCCTCTCCACGGCCTGCCGAACCTCCTCCCTCTTCCTCTCCAACTCCTCCTTCTGCTCCTTTTTCCGCGCCTCCCAGGCCACACGGCCCACCCGGACCCTTTCCTCCCGCTCCCGCTCCCCTTGCCATTCCAAATGGCTCTCCATGGCCTCCGCATATTCTTCCTCCACGGTTCGCCATTCCAGACGAAACAATTCCTTGGCCTCTTCAGGGCCATCGGGGGTGGATCCCCTCACCAAAGGCTCGGGAGTGCGTGAGCAACAATACGTGGCGAGCGACAACATAGGCGAAGATGGTGGTTTCAGATCAAGCTGAAAAAACTCCCACGGCCACCAACAATCTTCCATGTGGCCCCACCGGCCATCGGGATCTGCGCTCTTGAGGGCAAGAACGCTAAGAGGGGGATACTGTTACGCGCATGCCGCCGGCCTCCGTGTCACCTCAACCAACCGCGAATCCAATCACACCACCCACCGGACTCCGACCGCTTCCCATTACCTACTAATTTCATTTCACCAGTATCATTTCACATCCATATTTCACATTGTAATATCTAGACCCCGAACTCGGTAACAAATACCGACACCGGAACCCAATGGAACCTGACTCGGAATTAGCTACTATTAGTATATAAAGCCATGTACATCATCGTAGCTACTCAGTTCGAATATCAACTTGGATAAGCCATCTACACTGCGTACTCACTCCTCCCTATCTCATCCGTCGGATTCCGCTCTGAAGGATACTCCTGTTCACTTCTCTGACAGAACTCCGTTCTGTCCATCCAGATCCTTGGGCTCCGACTCAAGGGTGACGTTGCCAATAGCTTCGTCAACGCCCATGCACTCCGCTGGACTCTGCGTGTGCACTCAAGCCCACTCGATTGGCATGTTCCTAACAGTATAAGACAATGGTTCAGTGAGTCTGTTTGTATACTTCCTTTTTTAGCAGGGTAATCTTCAAAAGAAATCCATAGACACTTTGAAACATTAGATAGATAGATTATGCACTGCTTGGTGTCATGGATCATCACTCACAGCCATCTTAATCAAAGAAATTAAACTCAATTTAATTTTATACAACTTTCACATAGCATTACATTCTTAAGGTAAGTATTCTGTTATGAAAAACCAATTAGACTTCACCCTCCCATAGAATGTGTAGTCCTAGTGTTAAGTATGGTTGCTAGTTAGCCAGCACTGAAAGCTTGTGGTCTATACTCTTGATTCTCAAATCTGAGTCCATCTGGTTTCAGCTATAAAACCAATAGTTTCAATATGAGATAACACAATGCTCAAGCTGGATACAAGTCACCAATGAAAGTTTATGATGATCATAAGTTGGTAAAAAATGTGGAAGATAAAAATATGCTCTGAATGTTACTAAAACAAACAGGCTGAACTTGGTATTTTCTGTTGTGTAAATCTGGTAAAGGTTGTGCAACCCTCAACTACTTTGCTTTGAGATACAATCATTTCCAACAATGATATTGCTCTTGTCTTCAAACTCAAATGTCAATCCTGTCAACTCTGTACAGCTGTGTAGCTGAGAGACCCTCTCTTCCTTCTCAGGCTGATTTAGTCTCATGTTAAATGAAACAGAGCATGCAAGTGTGATGTAAAATGGAACACTTCAACCAAAGTAGTTTTTTTGACCAGCTCATCATACATGTAAACACTGAGCTGTGTCAATGCACTCAGTGTCCCAGAGATACTGTTGAAAAATGGAAGGTAGACAAGAGAAGACCAACAAAGAGGTTTTTCCAGTGGGAAGATATAGAGGTAATTATGGAAAGAAGGGAATAATCTGAGATATCCTCTTCACTGTAGATCATGGTCCCTACACAGTGATAGTTTATCATCTATTAGGACACATGAAAGAAAGAACTCATTCAGGATCTCTGAGAGGAAATAATTGATGAGTGAGGGTTTAAGGCCAATCAGCAGTTAGAAATGTGTTTGAGTATCCAACTTTTCTCATTCAAAAGTGACTCTTTGGGAGCATCCTGGGTGAGTGACATGCATTGCTAGAGGATAGACAGATATTGCTCTCCTTTGTGGACAAGGGCTTCCAGTTCCACATGTTCATTACCAACAGAAGCATTGTTGCACTTCAAGAAATATTCAAGTTATGCTACTGAGATCCCATTTGGAAAGAGATGGTGTGAATCCCACCAAGGGATGTGAAAGAATCCTATTGTTGTTAGATCCACTCAGCATGTGATGAGGACATGTGATAAACTAGCACTGTATTGAGTTCATACAGTCATGCTAGAGTCCACTTATTGTGCAATCTGATGGAATGCACCAAGGCTGTTCACAGAATAGGCTTGAGAAGAGGAAAGTGGTATAGATAAACTTTAGCTCAAAGCTGAGGTATTACAATGAGAGCTATCCTACTTATATACATTTCTGCAAGATGTAAATATAGTCCTCTATCTATTATGCATTCTTATGCTATGGTGTTGTAGTTTTCTGGTCATCAGAGACAGAACAATAGGGTATTATCTGTTGATGAGGCATTCATTGCATGTCAAAGATGTTATGATTTTTCCTTTTCTAATTCCTTTTTCAAACTTAACCCCTATTCATGCTTAGTCAGGGCACTTAGACCAGCACTTAAGACTGTGAGATGGGCTTAGTCATCACAACAAGCCCAGTTGGCCATTGTCTTTCAATGCAACAGTGTTGCCTGACAATGCACAAGGACACTATTGTAGATAGTAATGATGTTCAAGGACAACAAGCATAGGAGCCAGCATGAACATAATAAGTAGGAGTATTTATAGTAGTATGATAGACCTATATATAAGTAGGACAGCTCTTGCTGGTATACCCCAGCTTTGAGCTAAAGTTTATTCACACATCATTCTATCCTTGAGCCAAAACTAAAGGCCTTATCACACCATGATCTATATTCACAATAAGTGAACTCTGATGTTCCACTTGAAGTGTGAAGTGATGTCAGTTTATCACATATCTAGAATGACATGCAGCTTGAGTCTAACAATTAGCTCAAAGCTTCAAACTCTCTTTCCTCACACACTATAGTGTGGAGGAAACTGAATGCCATCTATCAACCCATCAGACCTTACCTTTGATCATGAGTTCTTTGAACTCCTCACATCTATCATTGGAACATTGTTGGAATTATTGGTGATCATACAGCTATGCTGTAGACACCAATCAATCACTGCCTGGGCAGTTAGACACTACCAGGAGTTTCAAAACATCCACTGAATCTTATGCAATGTAACCCCCCACCTGTGCCTGAAGGCTGTGGGAGTGCTTGCAACTATACAATTGAGTATGCCGCACCGGCTCTATGATGTTCGGGCATTGACCAAGACAAGATACTTGATGATCATTCTTCTGACCACTCCAACCATTCTGCTGTGTTTCTGAGTGGAAACGTCACCACAGATACCGAGGGTACAACGCCACATCCGGGGTCGACGATAATGGATGTAATTTTACCATAGCTTGGAGGACGTACCATGGTTCCAGGAACATCACTGTTTCCGGTGTTCGCTTCTCTCTCTATAACACCACCCAACAAGCTGTAGTTTCGTTTGCCAACAACACAGCGATCATCTCTCCAAGCGTCATTTTCTACCCGTTCTCTCTCCTTGACCACGACTCGGACTGTGAAGCAATCGACGGCGGTAACACTCCGAGTCCAGGATTTGGCTCTCGTGCAAGTACGTCGTCATCATGAGCTGGCTTTTTGACCAGCTACATGGTGTCATAATGTTCATGAGCATCGGGGCCCAGCAATGGTTCTCTCAGACGAACGTGTTGATGGATAATCTGTTCTCGATGAATGAGACCGCATAGACGTTCAGTCCGAATCCCCTTAATATGACACGTGCTAGAGGAGATCCTGGTGAATGCGATGGTTGCGCTGATAAGTTCAGGGGAAGCTATGACGATAGTGGAGGCATCGGTTGCGCGAGATCAGATCGTGTGGGTATATCAGTGTACGGCTGGATGTGGTATAGCGGGGTTGGCTTGTATAGTAAAGAATAAGGAGATGGGCGATTTGGGATTCTCAGCTATCGTTAGGGCAACTAGGAACGAGGATTTGGATTGTGTTTCTGGTGATGAGGATGTGAAGGATGACGCAGTTTTGCAATATGGGTCAAAGAGGAAGGATGACCTAGGTCATTTTCGCATATTTGAATTAGCACAGTAGCAGCGGCACACATGATTCATGAAAACACCCAGTGGATGAAATCTACGACGAGAGAAACCGATGTGGAGAAGTCAACCGTCGGACGTTCATTTAGGCGCAGTTGTTCTAGTTGCCTGAAGTTCCAATGAGACAAGAAGATACTGGGCATCCAAAAATGTTGGTGATGAGACACGTTGGCAAGGAATCTGCATTTACTCTGGACACAGCATTAAGAAAGCATCTGGCGTGAATTGTGTTGATACACATCACGTGGCAGGCTCGATCTGGATTGGTGCAGCGATGTTGGTAGGAAATGATTCGGAAAGACTGCGCTGTATGATTTACAAATAGAAATAAGCAGTAACAGGCAATCAGAATATAGCTCCGATCAGCAGCTCTCATCCTTGACAAACCAAACACCCCATACACCGCTGAAAATACCCTAAAAGGCCACATCATCAACGACTCAGGAACTATGTACAGTGCAAAGACCGCTTACCCGATGGTCACAGCTATTCGGCTGGTCGAAATGATACCCACCATAGTCTACAGGTGTCGTAGAGCACATCTCTCGCCAATTATCCCATGGCGGCTGATGATTCCCCATATGAGCTTCAATGCGCTAAAACATAACCATTGGTCAGATCGGCAGTGGTAAGGACCGAAGTCGTTGGACATACGCGACGCTTTGAGCCTTTCGCTACGCATCCCTGAAGAATGTGTCAAATCAATGAAGTATCTATTACCGAAATTTAAAACACACCTTATCCTGGAAGTCCTCCCACAGTGTCTTACAGCTTGGCTCATTCGACTCGACCGTCCAATGACCATAAATCCGAGGGTTCGTCGGCGCCTAAAGGAGGATGAGGCGACAGAATTTCTTGGAAGTGACGCTGGACTCACAGAATCATCCACATCAACGGTACAATACCCTGGCTTCTCGAAATCGACGCTGTGAATGGTAATTTCCTTCTCCTTGCACCATCGCAAGCCATCTTCGCCTGAGGGTACGCCCATTAGCTGAGCAGAGTATTCGCGGGTGCTATAGCGTAGACATCGGTTTGACGGAGTCAGGTCCGCCCATGCGAGACCGTCATGTATGATTTGGTGCCTTTTCTTCTTTACGAATCCGCTGAGTACGAACAGGCAGATTACGAAGATTACCATGGCACGAAGGATTCGCCTTCAGGATAATTATCAGTGCTGGTGAAAAGACTAGAATCTTCAGACGCACTTCGATGATGGTGACGTGTGGGTCCTGCGAGGCTATTCTTTATCTGTACTATGGGTAATGAATGGTTAAACACTTACAAGGGCGCTGGATTGGAAAGAGGTAATTGTCCAGAGTTGGCTGTACAGAATGGAACGGTAAGAAGGGGCCGTTTCATAAAAGAGCAGTCACGTACTGGGGTACAAAGGGCGGCGCTCATTCACGTTTGTCACTCCCCGTTCAAGGTCATTGCTATACGGAGGCGGTGGTTGTACCTGGGAGCTAGAGGTAGCTGTACTTGCGTCCATTGGCAGTAACCGTGATGACTGCCTTTCGTCGACATTCTCCTTGATGCTCACGGTCATGATGGTTGGAGACAGAGCCGCAGCGTTGGGTTAGGGTTCCGCTCTTGGATTTCGGATGTTCGGCCCGAATGCTGGCAGTGTATTTTCGACCATCTCTGCATTCTACGACTATGTAACACACCAATGGACTGTCTAAGAACGATTAGGGATACAGTATACCTTCCACATGTATTTCTCCACAAAGAAACAGAAGACGGACGGCGAAGTCTATCCAGGTGAAAACTGAAGGATGTAATGAGAAAGGACTTACGGCAGACCAAGACGCGCCCGGAATTGAACCTAGCTCGAGCTGTACGAAACATGCGTTACACCGAAGACATTTAGTACAGTCCCGAGATCATAAGCGGTACATCAATCCTGTCACTGCAGAGATCTCTTAATTCATTGACCCAACAGAGTGTGTCATTCAAAGCCAGAGAGCGAGGTGCGAATGGTCGGTAAATGTCCCACCCCATTCAAGTTATGCCGACCAAGACAGTCCAATTAGAACGTGAAAGCTTCGAGACGGAGACAGTATAAGCTGTGGATAATCAGTCATCGTAGGGAGCTTCTTAGTCTCAATAGAACGCCTCACCCGTTGCCAAATCTTCGCTGTGCTGGTTAAGTAAACCACATTGATCAAAAGTTCCACGAGAGAAGGGGAATGAAATAGCGTATCAGGAACGACATGAACCACAACGACGACTGTTCCTGCAGCTGAGGCTACTGCACCACTCGGATTCAACACCAAGGAGAGGAAGCCCCCTTGTATACGAAAGACATTCCCCAAGCCTCGCCTAACGTTGCCGCTGCGAATGGCGGTAATTCAGCTTGTATATCAGGTGCGAGCTGGATATATGTACTTTATTAATAGAGTAGAGACAGCCCCCATAACTAAAAATATGAGAAGAAACGATCCGATTCTGAATTATGGTTACGCTGCTAAGCTTCCTCCCACGCTGGTCTTGATAGCTTTGTTCTTTCACACCGAACTGGCTCCGTGCGGTGTCGATGCTCCCCGGTCAATGGCTTGTACACACACGAGAAACTGGTAGGCCTGGGGAGGAAGTCGGTGGGCCTTTATTCCTGTTTCCTATTATCAGATTCATAAGTTAAAGAAGTTTCGAGCATGGAACGATTGGCAAAACTCACGACGGAAATTAAACGAGTATCGAACCATCGATCAGTACAGAGGCTGCACCGATGCGAACGACACACTCAGTGGGGGACGGTGGGTCAAGGGGAAAAGAATCTAAGGTCGTCTGCGCCGTCCTCGTATGGAAGTCTGGTAATTTCCTTGGAAAGACGGCCGCTTGGCTATTGCTCCCCATTATGTCATTCTTTCGAGGTATTCAAAATGTCCAGTCGGTCCGAAAGTTCGCTCTGATGAGAAGGATTCTACGTAAATACGGAAAAAGACGCACCGTGGCGTAACAAATGAATATTGCTTCCCCGCCATGTTCCGTGGATCACGTCTGAGGAAGGGGTACGTCGAAACCTGGATGTATGCGTATTAAACATTTCTGGATGCACTCACAGTCAAGATCGTTGAACTAATACTAACAACAGAGGGACGCGCCAACTGTTACGTTCCTGCCTTGCTCTTCGGCGCATTGTACGGAACTGCTCGCCTCAGAGAGGACAAGATTGAATCCGCTCCATCCGCTTGAAAAAGCCATGCTTTTAGGCGATCAAACGCCCGCAAAGGAGAAATACTCGTACTGGCACATCGTTCATATCCGCGAAGGGAATACGAGCACGGCGTCGTCCATGTCGTGTGCTTGTCATCGAGATTCGCGGCATTGTGCAGTGTTCTATTATCATTGCATCCTAACGCGAACGGTAGTCCTGCCTGCAGAAATAGAGCCACATGATGCTCACTTTGACTTCAATGCCGCGACTGGCGCTACTCGGAACTCCGATGTTAAACTATCACCTCGTACATGTAGAATTGAAGGCACCAGATATCGGTGAAAATTGCGCTGCGCGAAATACTTTAGGAGCATTCGAACAAACGTCTCGCTGTTCTGTCGGCTTCTTTCATAGTTGGCTAAAATTGAACATTATCACCGCGGCGAGCAACGATATGGAAGAGGAGATAAAACAAGCAAAAAGATTGATAAAAGCGAAGCGTTATGTCGGGCCCCAAAGTCCGAATCCCCTCGCCACCATAACAATTACTTAGGTGGACCGCACTTGTCAGTTTGTATTTCCTCTATTTATTTCAATACCTCAATGAGTTCTGGCACCAACGGGCATCGCGTAAGTATCCGCTAATAAATTCCGGGCCTATGTTCTGGAATCTGTCTTTTGAACACTCAGTGCAGCTTATAAACACGCCGACACTGTGTTCTCTAATACAGGGGGGATAACGTTACTCGAGAATGTTTGAACCTGAAATACACTCCGACATAAGTACTATGTCTCTTGCCTTGAAGACGACGTGCTGGTGATCACATTTTGACATACCTGTCATCATCGATTAGTGGTAATGCTGAAGGAGAATATGATGGTTCGAATCCGTTGATTGGCAATCAAGTATGTCGCTGAAGCTCTTTACCATTTTGGCAGCTGTAAATAATAAATAATCTCTGAAGTCGCCACCGACTATTTGTGTGCGAGTCCAGGAGTGCCCTGAATGGTAGATTCCCCTACATGACATCCCCAAATCCCGATGAACATCCCATCAGCCTACAGACCTCTCTATACCAGAAGCCAGGCCTAGTGGCTTGCCTCAAGGGGATGTTGAAAAAGAAGAAAGACATGAGTACCCTCTCTGATGACCAGACAACTGAAACTGGAACCATCATCTCACAGGGTTCCAAAACCCATGGATCCTGCACCCCATCTCTAACCATGAGGACAAGGACCTCCCTCCAAACTTCTTTAATGACTCACCATCTCCTGATAGAACCACTTCTATGAGAACCCCTAGGATTAGAGACAATGCTAGAGACTCCCTTGATGCCACTAGGATGACTCTAGGATCCTGTCACATCTTGCCATGCCCAGGAAGTCCAAGACATGACTCCCTCTATGCAACTCTGAGTGAGAGTCCTGCTTGCCACCCCAGTCCAAATAGCCATGAGCTGGAGCTGACAGAGGAGCAGCGAGACCAAGCAGAGGAGGAAAAATGAGCCAGGGATAGAATTATCCACCAACTCTTCTCAGACTGGGACATCAACATCCCTTTTAACTATGATGCTGCACTATAGCAAAGAGAGCAATGAGAAGCAGAAGAGTGAGCTCAGCCTAGCTCCAGGCAAGATCAAGAAGACCTTGCAGAGCACACCCAGGAAGAGGCTCAGTGAGCAGCTGAAGAAGAAGAATATGACAGACAGAGGCATGAGCAGCAGCAGAGAGCCAAGGCTGCCTGCCTGGAAAGTGGTTTCTCAGGCTGGTATAGTCTCCAAAGTGAATTATCCACTCCTGTTTTCCAGGAGTCCAGTACCATTAACAGTGACCCATGGGCAGAACCTTACAGCCTAGTCACCCCTAGCAAGGTTGACTAAAGGGAAAATAGGGATGGAGTCCTCTACCCCCCTTGATGAACCACCAGCCCTGAGACCCTCACCTATCTCTCTTCCTGGCACACCCTCAGTGTTAACATCATCAATAAGGGTGATGAGTCTGTTCTCAACTTTTACAGACTACAAATACCTCTCAATGCCCATGTCTCTGACCACACCCTCCAAGGATACCTTGGAAGCCAGGTTGCTTGACAGTTCCTCAATGAGAGATTCTACAGAAACTTCTGAGTCTATAGCGAGAGCTTGAAGGCAGTGTGAGCAGCTGGCAGCAATAGGTACAACACCCTGATTAGAGCTGGTCCTTGAGCAGTCTTCACCACCACCTCTGCCTCTCTCAATGCTGAGGCTGAGCCCAGTACCCAGCCTCAGCAGCTCCTCAGCAACCATCAAACCTTCTGCAGAGAGTCTCTTTGACCAGCCTGTTGGTTCTCTCCTCAGGAAGGACAGTGAGGGTGATGAGAGAGAGGATGATGAGGAAATGGAGGACAGCAAGGAGCCTCATAGATTTATTGACTATGTTGCTGAAGACACTGACAAAGAGGCCCTGGAAGAGAAGATACAGAGAGTGAGAATAGGGGAGTATCAGGATCTATACAAAACAGGGATAACATTTTTGTGGCATGATGCCAAGTGGTTGGCATCACAGAAAGGACAGATACATATTAATGCAGAATGAGAGAAATGGCAGAATATTCTACAATATTCTGCTATGAAATATGCCATTGACATCTATAATGCCTGACACCCAGAAGACCAACTTCAAGAATTGCCACTATATAAATCAAGATTCAACATCCAACCAATGCTATGGTCACCATCAGTATGAAGCCAATATTTGTACTCCACCCCATTGGTTTGATCATTGGCCATTTGGCTGTCATATTCTAAGCCACAGCCAACCATCTGACCAACTGGCTTCTGAAACCCTTGGACTGGCAGGAGAAGCTGACTCCTTGAAGCCCAGCTACTGCCAGATGAGGCATCAGGAAGCAGTACTGGAAAAGAACTGGTCCAGAATGATCCAGAAGCTGTCAAGATAGGCTTTACCATCAGGAATGGAGTTATCATCAAGAAAGAAGCCCTCCCACAGGGAAGCCTGATAGCTGATGACAACTGATTACATTCATTTCCAGGACCACCAACTGAATGGAGGTGACTGCCCTTCAGTGAATGGCCCAATCCAATGGGCATATTACCTGAGAATGCTGCTGTTCTGCAGTGCAGGCCTGATCTGATGCAGAAGCCCCACTCCTTCAAGGGGGCTTCTGATAATATCAACTGATTTCTCATTGACTGTGAACAGTACTTTGAGGTTTACATTGCTTACCTAAGCAGTGACATGAACAGGGTGGCCTTTGTCACCTCAAACCTAGAAGACAAGGCAAAAACTTGGTGGATTCTGATATCCCCAAACTTCTACTCCACTATGTGACAACACCTTCATTTCTCATCCTAGCCAGTGTTCAAACAAATGCTGAATGACAAATTCATTGATCTGATGGTGCAGAAAGTATATAAACAGAAGATCAAGGAATAGAAGATGAGAGACAAAGTGGCAACAGATTATTTCAATGAGCTTGAGTGGCTTGCCAAGCTTGCCAGTATTCAAGAAGACATAGCAAATGATGGATGAATGGTTGAGGCCCTCAAGAGAGGATCCCCACCTTTCTACATCATGATGATCTCAGCCACTGGGAAATTCATTCTGATCAGATACAATAAATGGAAAGAATGCATCATTGAGATGTACAAGAAGTGGCAGCAGCAAAAAGCAGAACAGTTCATCTTGCAGGACTTCTGAAAACCAAACCAACCCTTGGGTTTGAGCTCCAAAAACAACAACCTGCCTGTCAAAACAGGATTCTTGATGGCTGGTCCCTCATTTACAGCACAGAAGACAGGGACAGAAACAACATTCACAGGGGCTGAGAAGCCTATAGACATAGACCAACTAAAGAAAGAAGGGAAATGCTTTAACTGTGGCCAAAAGGGCCACATGTCAAAAGACTGCCTGAAGAAGAAGCATATCTGAGAAGCTATTTGGGCCCAAATTGCCAAGCTACAGAAGAAAGCAGAGGAGCTTGGTGCTGAAACTAAGGTTGAAGAAGTAAAAGATGGGGCTGATCAGTGAGTGATTCCACTGAGTCAGCCAAAGAACTTAACAGTGTGCAAACCACAGCTGCTGGATGGACTGATAGTACTTTTGTAGCTATGACTAAATTATGCATGCATTTGGATATACCCAATATGTGACCCATTTCACACACCAAAGAATTGCTTAAAAGAACTGAAATGCCTGAGGGCCAAACAGGAGGAGAGATCCTCAGATGGCTCAAGCCATTCAATACTGAATAGACCTGAAGAGCAATCAAGGATGCTCAGACAGAAGGAGAAGCAAAGATGGTACTCAAGAATTAGATACATAAAACCTGAGCCAAGGAGATCACCAATGAAATGATCAAAGGGATGAAGGAGGCAGAAAGATGTCAAGCCTTAGAATGGCTCAATGAGTTGTGAGGACCACAGAGATATGTTTGCTGCACTCAAACTTGGGGATGAGATCTAACAGTCAAAGCTCAGATTAAAACACTGATAAATTGATCAATGCACACTATAACTATACTGGTGGACAGCAGCTGTACTGGCAGCTCAATTAATCAGGCTTTTGTTGACAAGCACCATTTACTGACCTGCACCACTGCTGCCCCAATACTGGTCTATAATGCTGATGGGACCAAAAACCAGATAGGATCAATAACTGAATTCATCAAATTATGCCTAACTATCAGAGATCACTCAGAGTGAATCAATCTTGTGGTCACTGACTTGAGAACTAAGGAGGTGTTTCTTGGCCATGACTGGTTGATCTGCTGACACACACTCTCCATGTTCAGGCATGTAAAATTGCAAAAATTATGAATACATGGACTGCATTTCAGTCCAGTAAGCATGTAACTGAGAATAGGACAAGAGCATGCAGAAACCTAGGTATCATAAGGCTAAACTGAAGTAACAATGAGCAGAGTGCATGGCCTAGTAGCAGACTAATACCAGAGGGGTTAGACTGCATGTGAGGTCCCAGCACTTGGCTCTAAACACACCAATACCATTACAAGAGAGCATGCTAAAGATAAAAAGAATATGATCAAAATATGATTGGCAATCCTGATCACATTGATCAAAGATGCATGGTCATTGATGCACTGAGGGGACATGCCTTAGAACAGAGAACTGAGATCCAAAGAAAGGTATCTGAATAACTGAGTGCTGAATGGAGAAATAGAGTGATGGCAACAAAGGAATAGATAGAGGAATACTACCCTCAGAGATGAATAGCACATGTACTGCTCAGAGACTTGCACACATACTTATAGTGCCTTAGCATGCTTAATAGATTGAGAGACTCCACATCATACTGTGGTATGATACATATCATATTGGGTAAGTTAATTAATGCATGTCAGGCCAGAAGTGGTGTATTTTATGAGCCAGAGGAAATGTTGAGACACTGGAAAAGAGAACATAACTATTATGACTGACTCCAGATATGGGAGATAACTCTGGGGGTCCAGAACAGTTTACTGCTGTCAGGAATATGTCACTGAGAAAATAAAAAAGCAAGCAGACCTGGCTAGGCCAGCTAGTGAGGAAACAT